GACTAAGAGGAAGCATTCCCAGAGACAGAAGCAAGGATCCATACACATACAACAGACCACTGTCAATCTGTAGGCTTCAGACTTCAGAAAAGAAAGCAGTACAAATCCGTTACACAAATTAGGTTTGTAACAGGAAGTAAGAAGAATACCGACTCCTGCTTCATTCTGGCCAATGTCAGGAATCTCTTCCAGATAACTATTTATCTTGATTTCACCATTAGCAAAATAAAAATTCATCTTAAATACTATAAAATATTTATAGTATTTAAGCAACAATCTATAAACTTGCTATTTAGTCAGCCTATACATAACTAAAACTGCTAGACCAAATGAGTAATTTTTAAACTAGCTAGTTCAATGACTGCATAGGGACATGTTAGGACTTGGAAAATGGGAAATACTAAGAATAAAATATGGTACCAGCTAAAAAGAGAGGTTAAAACTACTATATCAGTGTTTGAATCTTCAGGAGCTTTGCACCTTTCTTTTCAAACCAAGAATCTGGTTTCAAATTTGGCTTGGTGTATTTCTTGTAGAAGCCTTTATTTGGAGGTTTCATTATTTTATGCCCGAAGAAGGATTTTATACGAGCAACAGATGCTGCAGCACAGTTCCTTTTCACATTACGGTACCTTCCTGGCATGCCTGGTAAATTCTACTACACATCTCTACCAACAAGCAGATGGCAGTTTTCCTGTCTCTAAATCAGAGGAATCCATCCCTCTGTCTGATCTATTACTGAAAAAGGGCAAGTGAGAGGTAAGAAAGTATGAACATTTAATCCCCTCCCAGCCAGCAAGGGGAAAGAAAATAGGATATAAAAAGCAGTGTAGAGAATATTATTTTTTTTTTTTCCTAATGGAGAAAGTCTCTCTTTCTAATAGCTGCTAAATGACTCTGCTCAAGAGCGACTGAAAATGCCCTTCAAAATCATGTACAGGTTTCCCTCCCTTTATGCTATACATGCCTTCCTGGAAAACTGCACATAACTTGAATTTGCATAAAGGGAACCTACTTTACAATGTAACAAATAGAGATATGTTTTAAGACCTCGGCTGTACTGACCCCCAAACCCATTTCTACCACTTTTACAAGACAATTTTGGTACTCACCAACAGCAGACAGTGCACACAAGCACAGGGCACTGACATAATGGGGATGGCAACTACAGAAGCACATGTCGCAGACAACAAGCAAGCAGCGCAGACCCACACAGATCATATTTTGGTGCGCATCAGTCCCACAACGCACCGCACAAAGCAGCTGACTGCGGGCTTCCACTGCACTGATGGCACAAAACTGAATTCACCTCGCATATAATGAATTTTTGGTATAAAAAGGGTCATTGCATATGAGCGAATTCGCACATACAGAACCCGCATAAAGCGAGGGAAACCTGTAGTTTAGATCCAGAGAGCAATCTCTTTGCCTTTGGAAAGCTCCCCCCGCTCAGCTGCACCACTCACCTTCAACACAGACCAGCTCTCCTCCTTGGCCACACATGCAGTCCAGCCTCCTCCTAGCTGTCACAGCAGGAGCAAGTGGGGCGGGAAAATGGGGTCACAAGTTAATGCTTTAGGAGCAAAATGTGGCCTGCAGGCCACCAGTTGGACAATCCTGCCCTTCAAGGTAATTTACAATATTCAGCTGTCTGTCTTTAATTTTATGCCCCACACCTTTGTGAAAAAAAGAAAATAAAAGAAAAACTAAAGTCTAACCATCAAAGAGAAGGGCAGCACTCCCCTAAAGGTGAAGAGCAACGTATTATTTAAAAAATGAAAAAGGGGACTCGTAACTTATGGCTTCTTTGCCAATAAAGAAGGTATCTAGAGTTTGCAAATTCTTTATTTGTGACAGACCACAGAATTTCAGGCTGCTATTATATGCTCAGTCCACAGCAAGGACACTGAACTGTTTTTGTTTAAAAAGTTCTTCTAGACGCACGATAGGGCCAGCCAGCAAGACTTTTCAAATTAGACTATAAAGAGAGCTGGATTTCTGGATTGCAGTCCACTAAAAGATATGATGACCGTAATGGGGGAGAACTCGTGCTCCAAGATCAGAAAGCACTTATGCCAAGACAAAAGTCTCTCCGGCTTTGAAGGAAAAAAAATCATTTTTCTTCTCTGTCTGTTGCCAAGCATTCAAAACAGAACAGCTCAGCTCCTAAAACTAAGAGGACAGACGTAGAAGTTTGTATACTGTTGTTTGGAAAGAATAACAACACTAAACCTTCTGAAGAGCTACTTAGGTTAAGAAGCATTTAAGTGTGAAGATTGCAACTGCAGCCCAGATTAGGAACTACTCCCAATTTATTGTAAGCAGCAAAATTCAGAAAGCTCATGTATAACTGCTATCCACCACAAAAGGAACATATTTTTTCTAAGTAAAGATGAGGAATTATCTGCATCACTTTATATTAATGAGGCTTTCCTGAAATAAGATGTTCCATCTCTGCTTGTTATACTCAGTTAAGCAGTTTTGCACCAAGTAAGTGGCCTACTAACCACTGAAAACAGCTGCACTGAAAGCAGCCTTATCAGCTGCAGCCAGCTTCAGCCTGCATCAAAAAAATAATCTGGTTATGTTCACTTAGTTTAATGTATCCTCGCTTTACGTTAAAGAACTCTGCCATGACAAATATCTGCTTTTGAGCAAGATATTTATACACACATACACAAATGGGTCTGCATACTACAGCACCATTTTTAATAAGTATCATAATATTGTAACAGTTCAGAAAGCTTTATGCACCAACAACCCAATTCTGTAGTTGACAATCCAGCTAAGTAGGTATAAATACAGGCAAATTTTGACCAAAACAAGCTCACTTATCTTATTCTTTTTCTGCAAAAAATGACTAAATCCCAACACCTTGCACTGATCACAAGAAACAATGAATTCTATTTGCAGATGTTCCCTTTCCTTCTGAATTCAGATATCATATATTCTCCAATCACAAATAACTCAGCCATTTCCTTAAACCAGTCCTTTTAGATTGTAAAATTGGAAACAGGATTAGAGTCAATTTTGGTCAATGGGAACACCATTCAGGATCAGCTCAGAAGAGGAAATTTCCACTCTACTTCTATCAGTGCTATAGCTGAAGAAGAGCATTAAGTCAGATATACTTACTCTTCCTTTTGAAATTTTTATTTCAACTGCCATTCAACTCTCAAGACACTATTAACAAAATGCATTGAGAGCAATTAAAAAAAGAAGAGAGTTATTTCTTTTCCTTTGTGTTGAACCTAAACTATATAAAAAGAACCAAATACGAGTGTAAGAATGAGTGTAAGATGTTAAAACCTAACAACTGCATCTTGGATTCCTGTTTCCTTTAAAACGTTACTTTGAACACATTTATTTTGATATCACCATTATACTGAATTAAGATAAACCTGATGGTTTATATTAATTCAGTTTACACACACACACGACTACTTCCTAATAAATTTTAAGAAAATTCTAAACTCAAAGGCATCACATTTAAGTGCATTTAGTGAGCTTTTTTCAAACCTATTAGACCTAGGATAAGATAGAATGCATGTCAGAAAGATAGATCACAGTAAGAAAAGCTTATTGAAGTTTTAAAAATATACCAAGAACTTAAAAGGTTTAGCTCTAATAAGACTAAGGGACAATCTAACTAGGGCACTAATTTACAATGCCCACTACGTTTCTCTGCCACCTGCAGTTTTATATTTTTAAACCTTTTACAATAATTTTTTTTTAAATTTGATTTCTGCAGCTCACCACAAAACAGCAGAGGAGCGAAAGAGAGAGATAACCCGTTGTAATAAAAGGAAAGCTTCCCTGTGGGATAAATTCCATCTATATATAATCCTTGCATCACTTTTGATATTTTTATGAATTAATTGTAATAAATTATACGGTAAAAAAGTTCAGGAAGTACTTTTTTTCCAGAAGATTTTAGAAAAATAACATGCTACAGGGCTTTACTCGCTCACAGAAAGTCATACTGAATTAACTTACATAATGTTTCCACTGTCTTGAATATGCACACAGTGCAAACTTGATATAAATGTTAACCCCATGCTGAGTCCAACTATGCAGAAAGTAGAAATAATAGTAAAAATCAGAGTTGCTCTCATTACTCCAAGCCAATGACTGCTACAAGATCCCAATCCTGCAACTGACTGCATCGACACCCACTAACTTCAATAAGTTTCTATAGAAGAAACAAGAGTTCCACGCATGTAGCATTAATTGCAGGAACAAGGTTAAAAAATTAAATATATTAACAAAAGTTCTGGGGAGCTGTCTGATTTTAAAAGTATTTGGATACTATAGCCATTCTACTAGCATTAAGGAGCAAGATCTATAAGAGTATACACAGTATACTGGTAAGTACAGTCTTGATCTTGCCCTATCATCAAACTCGTCTCAAGGCATGAGGACTGACCAGTTCTTGAGGTTGCTGCCAACTCTATATGCCTACAATTGTTGCTGGCGGGGCAGGAAGCGGGGCTGATGGGTGGGAGCAGTACAACATGACAAATGGTCCAGCTTGACCCCAATTCTGCCAGCCACACCACAGTCCTGTTTCACCTATCAACACTGGTCAATATGTTGACACCAAAGCTAGAAAACAAACTGAAGTAGAACAATAAGATATTAACTGCATCATAATCATCAAGCCCAAAAGGAAAAGCATGTCATTCCTCTCATGAGTGAAATACTTTGGCAACTAATTTCAACCATCATTATGTGATGGGTACTAATGCACCAGCTCTTATTTCCAGAACAATACTACTTTTATATGCGCTCACTTTTCTTACACTGCATTTTCTAACGGTAAACCAAATACACAGCATGGCATCCACTCCCCTGCCTTTCAGTCGCGTTCTAAATTATACAGACCCTGAATCTGGTCTTAAAGCTAGTCATTTGCCATTTCCTTCCTACCTGTTCCACTTCTCCCTCCCCACCTGGTTCAATCTGATTGCTCCCATTCTAAGTTCAATAAATTTACTTACGCATTAGGTTGTAAATGTGCTTTTCCGCAACATGTTCCGTAAACAGCTTTATAAGGTCATCTTTTAAGTCTCTGTTAAGCTTGGTTTCTATGTAAAATTTATTCTGGAAAACAAGACAGACAGAGGCTTTTATATTTTGGGTTACAGTAGCACACCAAGCAAAAAAAAGCTGAACTGCTTTTATTCAGAGCTAAAGCAAATTCTTTTTTTTTTTTTTTTTAAATAGTAGAATTCTGATGTTTGAGCTCTAAAATACCTACTTGCTATTCCAGTCATACTGCAAAACACCCTGGACCTACAAATGTGCATCTGCTTCAAGTGAAGCATATGAATAATATCAATTTATGTGCATAAAGGTAGCATACATATTCCTCCCCCTCCCCTTCTCTCCACCTACCGGGCCAGGATTTATGGGGATGGGGCAGGAAAGGGAAGAAATCTACCTACATTTTATTTTAGAGGTTTTTACAGCCTATAATGAATACTTGGGTATTATGTTATTACAAAGATGAATTTCATCAGAATCTATCATTCTGCTG